CCACACCGCCGTTCTGCTGGGTGGCGCTCAGCAGCAGCATTTCAGTATTTGTGATCACACCTCACAAAGACCCTCAGGAAGGAGGACGCCAGAGCTGCTGCAGAAAGTGACAAGAACGGTAGGATGAGTGTGTCCAGAGCAAGTGGGATTCTGAGGAGGATTAGTGATAACCCGGGGAGTGTGATTTCCATCATGGACTTCCACCAAATCCACACACTGCAAACCAACTAAAGAAGCAAAAACAAGAATACAGCAGGCATTGCTTGAGCCTGACATCAAAAACATGCAAAAAAAAAAAAGAGATCATTTTTCTAGTTTTTTTATTTTAGAAAATAGTTACGTTGTTCATTAAAATTACAATACTATAGCCTACAAATTTCACAGTAGTTAGAGATGGAGAAAGTAAAAACAACTAATGGACAATGTTTTAAAAATTGCCAATGTGGTGTTGAACTGCCAAGAGAAACAAAACTTCCACTGATATGAGTCCTTGTTGTTTCCGTTAACAAAAGTCAACGATCACCTAGTTTCTTTTTTGGTACCAGGGGTCGAACTCAAGACCTTGTGCTTGTGAGGCAGGTAGTGGAACCACTGAGCTAAATCCCCAGCCCCCCTTAGTTTCATTTATTATGAAATTTTCTTTCCTGCATTCTGACCTATAAACAGAGCAAAAGTCCCTCAAAAATAGACTGAGGTGCCCAACTTGGCGGTGTATAGAGAAGGTTTTCGAGCGGCAGGAGACACTTCCTGCCAGGGGCTTCTCTTCTCTTCTAAACCCTGGCTTTCATTTCAGAGCGCTTTTCACGCCATGGTCAGTGAAGCCCACTTCCTGTATATTGGGCTGAAAAGAACTCTAACTAGGCCTGCCACTTGCTCTACAATAGATTCAATGTTATCTTCCTATTCAACTTCGCCTGCTGGTCCCAAAGAGCTGAAATGGCCGAAAGACCAAAAATGCACGATCATCCTAATGGTAAGGATAGAAATTAGAATTGAGGAGTAGGGAGAGAAGAAAGAAGGCAGAAGACAGCAAGAGCAAGAAGAGCTGTGGGAACGGGTATAGAATCGGCACTCTGAGATGGTGAAAATAAATGTAGCTCTGAAAAAAAATCAATAAATTGATATACTTCCTAGGAATCATAAAGTGTTAAACTGGAATTTTAGAATTTCACATCCCACGTTATTAGCGCTAGATGAAAAGCTTTCAGCTCAATATGTTCCAGTGATTTGTGATACACAAATCCAAGAAACAGAAACATTCCTTCAGTCTGCCACTGAGTCTTCCCATCACTCTGGGGTTTCAGCTGCACACTTGCTGAAAGCCCTGGACCCGGACCCAGATCGTCAATACAAAGCCTATTATTTCCCATAATTTCCCAAACACTGATCTGCTTGCTCTCAGAGCAAGACGAGATTTTCTTTAATTCTTCTTCCTCTTGAGAAGGATTCAAAAGATTCCTCACTTGTAGGACTAAACAGAAAACCTGCTGGACCATGGATTTTGCCGTCCAACCCCTCTTCCTTCTCTTTCTCTCCTGGCCCATGATGCCTCCAACTTCCACGTGATGACCTTGACTGCACCTCTCCTCTCAGACCTGCTTTCAGTCCAAGCTGAAATTCTGTACTGCTTGCCTTGAAAATACAGTCCAGTGTGAGCGGCTCTTCACCATCCCACTGCCACCCCTGATCCCCTCATCTGACTTGATGGTGCAACTGCGCCCCAACGCTGGCCTCCTGCTCCCCCTGTCTCCGAGGGCCAGGGCCCCACACAGCTGTGAAAGCCTCCTGAAGGTGGCCGGCCACGTGATCCCTCTGCTGAAACCCACCCTGAGCTTCCCGCTTTGTTCGGAGGAGAGTCCACATTCTTTCACCTCCACGCCCTACCCGTGTGTTCCCATGAGCTCCGCGCGACACAGCTTAATTCTTGCCCGGTTCATCCTGCTCCACTCACAGCCACACACTGCTCCTGCAGTGGTCGGGCCTTCGGCCTCCGAGCGTCCCTGCACACTCTGGCTGGGGCGGCCCCACTCCCCAGCATCCGCATCGCCATCTTCCCGGCCTCCTCCAAGTCCTCACGTGACTCTCTCAGCGAATCCCGCCCCACCTCCCCACCTCCACCACACCGGCCTCTGACATCACTTAACGGGTCATAGACTACCAGATGGCGTCTAACGTGCCTCACAGATATAACAGTTTCTAACAACCTACCTGTCACTCGCTTTTCACACGGGTACTCCCTCTGCACCCCTAGACTGTGAGCCATGAGGGAGGGGGATTTTGTCTATTAAGTTGCCAGTGCACCTCCAGGGGAGGAGAAACTAAGTGAAAAGCAAAGGTTGTCGGAGTGAAAACTTTCTGCCAACTTCTGATTTGCATTTTCAATATAACAGAAATTCCTGCAGAGTGGGAAACTAGCATTTTATTTGCTTTCTTTCCACAGTGCTTTCTGAACAATAGGAAATTCAAAATATATCAATGGAAACTCCCGTGCTCATTTCATTACTAAGATACGTTGGTCTGTGTCAAAGGTGATGGTTACAATTTTCATAAAGTGAAGATTATTCTCCTGTCTCATAATACAAGTTCTGTGCTTCTCAAACTACCCAGGACCTTTACATGTCTTGGGTCATCGGGAAGCTGCCTTCCCACAGGAACCTCCAAGGACCCCAAATCCTGGCAACACTTCCCAGCCTCTTGCCCTTGTGCTCAGTGCATTGTGATCAATAAGATATTTTGGAGGAAATCAATCCCTTTAGAGCAGCCATCCAAACACACGCATGACTAATAGAGTTAACCCTTCCTAGAACTATTGCATTTCAGAGAGAACTTGTAACCTCAACTGAATTATCTACTAACGCAACAGACAGGTAACAGACTTTTGAGGTCCTTTTCCTATCTCTGACCTATGTTCAGTAGGCAGAAGAATGGTATCTTAACATAGCCCCAAACTCCTGCATACACAAAAAACCACCTAACCACCCCTGGATATCACTGTTGACCACGGTAATCACCACCTCCGTGTTAATATTCAAGCTTATTTTGATGTGGTTTATCCATGATTAAAATATCTTGAGGAAAACCAGAAGATTAGATTCTGTTAGCCTGATACTTAGTCTACACTTAGCTATGAGGGAGAAGAATGGAAAGGAAAAAAATAATTGAAAAGCTCCGGTGTTGCATAACTAAACAGATTGGAGGTGACTCATTATTCATCCTTATGAATTCCTTTCTCATTGTATAAACTAAAGCACATTTATGTGACTGACTCTTATTAAAGATTTATATATGTTTTTATTGGCGTGACTTTTCTGCATTGTGAATAGTGGCAAAGGTAAACAACAAAAGGACCAATGTCTAACGATGGTCGGGTTGAACTGTGTGCCCCTGAAATTCATATACTGACCTCCCTAGCACTTCAGAGTATGACTGTATTCAGAAAGGAGCATTTGAAAAAGTGATTCACGTAGAATGAGGCTGTCTCTGATCTCTGTGGTCCAGCCGGCTGATGTCCGCCTGAGAAGAGAAGGTTTGGGCAGACAAGGTGGCAGCAGAGGCCACACTGGGACACCCAAGAAGGCAGCGCCAGCGAGACAAGGAGCCAGGCTCAGGAGAAACTCATCCTGCCTTCTCCTTGACCTTCCACTTCCAGCCTCCAAAACTGTAAGCAAATAAAGTTCTGCTGTCTACACCATCAATTCTCTGCTGTTTTGCTGTGGGAGCTTGAACAAATTCACACGGCTTGGTTTTCTTTAAAACACATACTACAGACATTGGAGAGTCCATTTCCAGGGAGGGAGGGAAGGAAGGAGATAACACTGGAAGGACATCTTTAAGGTCCTGGGGCAAACCACCAATTCAAAATTCAATATCCACCAAAAAAGAAAAAAAAACCATTAAAATTGGAACTAAGTAAATATATGCTCAGATAAGCATAATCTGAGTACACTTATCACCATCCAAGAAATCTGAACTGGTGAAGGAAGTCTCTCAGCCCAAGGGGAGATTTGGGTCTGTACTAAAGAATGAAGAACACTGCACTCACATACATACATGAATTTGGGTATGTATAAAAAGTTAACATTATATTGTGCACTTTTGAATAAAGACACATATGAAGAAGAGAAAAAAATGAAGGAAACTGAATATTAAATAGATGAAATTCTATGGTTGTAAGGACTTTATAGTCTTGTGAAATGTTATATTATGACCTTTAAGTAGAGTATGTTGAGTATGAATATTGTAATCGCTAAAGCAACCTCTAAAGATGAAGTAAATGGATATGTCTGTCTTTGTAATAGCTTACAACTCAATGGGAATTGACTAGTAGCACAAAAGATATATACAATTAACCAAAAAAGGGCAGGAAAAAGTAACAGAAAAACCAAATACACATGCAAAAATTGAAGAAAAAATTACAGCACAGACATAAGCCTAACTTTATCAATTGTTACACTAAGTGTAAATGAAGTAAAAATTTCAACTGAAATTCTAGGCTGTCTGAGGGGGGCAGAAAATGAATGCTGAATGCAAGAGACAAATACTTTAACATGAGTTGTAAATAAAATGATAGGAATTATATACTAGGCAATCACCAAGCCTAGAAAATTTCTGTGAATCAGGAAGTGAGGTCTTTTTATTTAATATACTCATGATATTTTTGCTTTGGTACAGGGGATCAAATCTCTTTTTCCACTTTCTTCATGGTTGCCATGAAAGTTGGAGATCAGGAGGAGGGAGAAAGGGCCCCTGGTGATAAGGGAGGGGAATGTTCTACATCTTGGTTGGGAGTTGGTTAAGAAAAGTGTATATTTATCAAAACTCATCAAATCATGTACTTAAGACCTGTACATTTCCCTGTATGGATTTATTCCCCAAATGAAAGAGAGAAAGAGACTCAAAGACATGTCCACTAACAGTAATGAGTAGACTCTGTTTAAATTCTGGTGTCATTTCTTTTAAACCCAAAGAATTGATGTACACAACAAAAATGAAAGTGTGAAACTTAGATATTCGATGACCCTCAGGAATTTTGCTGTTTGCTTCAACTAAATGTGGGTGTTTATTTTTCTTTTGATAATCCCTATCCTTTAGAGAAACATCATGAGGTATTGATGGTGAAGAGATCCCTAACGTCCCAGACTGGTTTCCAGCAACATGAGGGAGTTAGGGGTGAGTAGAAATACAGTTGGCCCTTGGCATCTCTGCACCCAACATCTTCAGATTCAACCAACCTCAGACTGGAAATCCTCTGGGGGGAAAACTGCACCTCTCTGAGTATGTGCAGACTTTTTCTTGCTGTCATTGCTACAGTGGGAAACTGTAGAGGAATCCAAATGGTGGAAAAGCTGGTGTCTGTCGGCACCGGGAGTTGGACACACTGGAGTCAATATACTATTCTGTTTTCTTTTCAGAATGCTGTGCAATAAAACATAATACAGCAAAAACAAATAAAAGCTTTCTACCTTGTACATAGATTTCTTTCTGATTGAAAGACCTTTTCACCCACTGTCCTGTTTGAAATCTGGGCAACTACTTCTTTTGTTTTATTCACCATCTCAAGCACCACTTTTCTGTGCATCCTTTCTCTGTCATGCCTCCAGTCTTCCCTGTGCATAAGTAGCATCTGATCCCCTGCTTTTTATTTCTCTGCATTAATGGGACCATGGTTCCCTTTAAACCAGTGCTTGTTCCCAAGGTGAGGGCAGAGAAATTGCAAATGGGCTTTCAAAGCCAGAGACAATGCTGAATAATTTCTAAAATTAATGAATCCTTGTAGGCATTATCAGGGATGGTCTCCTTTTAATAAATACCAACTCCCTTTTATGAGCTTAAATTCAAAATTTTTAGGAACTCATTATAGGATTCAATATTGTATATGGTAGTAGAGAATATTAGTAATGTATCTATACCCTGATGGGATAGATGCACATGGGTGTAGACACACTGCAGTTAATGGAAGTGTGTGATGGTGAGATGGTGGAATTACATGGGGCCTTCCGTGGTTGCTTTTTGAAATCAAATGAATGATTATCTTCTAATCAGATGATGACAGGGATGAGTCTATTAGATTCCCATTTCCTTATGAGGAAATTGAAATATAATCAAAGACAGTGAAACAATCATGCAGTGTCATGACCAATTTTAGCATGACTAGTGCTGGGACATCTGTCGAGGTACACCTTCTAGGTGGTGCAGCATGGAGTGTCTGGCATCATCTGTAAAGAACTCTTTCCAAACACTCTAAGTCTGGATACATTCCAACTTGTACATCTCACAGTGGGCAAAGAAGCCAACTGAATATCACCAGGAGGAATCAGTCCCTGAAATCTAGAAAAAGCGATATTCTACAGTAAAAATTCCAGGTTCTCCAACAAACCAGTGTCGAGCAGGAAAAGAACAGGAGCAAATAGATTTACATCAAGTGAAATGTGGGAACCTTGACGGGAGGTCTAGAAAATGTTTCAAGGACAATTTAAGGAAAAGTCATTAGAGATCAACTCCCCTGTGCCATAAGCAGTAAGCTCTCCTTTTGTTAGATTTTTGTCCTATTCTTGTGATTATTTAGATATATGTTCTTGTGTCTTCTGTGCAACCTGGGATATTCAAGGCTAAATGTCATGCTACCAATAACATATACAGCAAAAAAAAAAGTGTCAAAAATGAAATGTAGGTATTTTAGTACGTTGAAAAAAATGGTTGGCTCCCAAAATGTATCCATATCCTAACCCCCAAAATTTGTGAATGTTACTGTATGTGCCACAAAAAGAGGATCTTTAAAGATAGTACTATACCAAAGATCTTGAGAGAATTATCCTGGATTATTTGAATGAACAGTAAATGCCACCACATGTATCTTTCTGACAGAAAGCAGAGAGAAATTTAACACAGACTGAGAAGAAAGTGATGTGAAGGTGAAGAAGAGAGACCTGTGAAGATGTGGGCTCTGACCACAAATCATGGAAAACCAGTGGCCACCAGACAGCGGAAGAGGCTAGGAACAAACTCTCTCCTAAAGTTTCAGTGCAGACACAGTCCAGAAATACCCTGATTTCAGAAAAATGACACTGGCTTCAGACTACTGACCTCTGGAACTGCACTCTGTGAATAAATCTTTTCCTGAAAGCTACTGTATTTGTGGAATTTGTTACAGCAGCTATATGGAACTAATACTTGCATTTGTGGGAATTTACTAAAATTTTCTCACTTTTTTCAATGCTTGAAAATTTTCATCAAAAAATGTAGGTTAGTAGATTTTGTTAAAATATATTTATAATTATTTTAAGGAGAAATGATATTATTTAAAACTATTTCAAAGAAAAGAACATGCATCAAAAGTTAAATACAGGTGTTACTATCAGAACAGTTGCTAGATAATCGGTTGTCAACAACACAATTTAAGTTAACAAAATTTAAAAATTATTTTCTTCTTTCTTATTTTAAAACCTCTTTCATATTTTATACTTAGTGAATTACTTCATGTACAAACTGATGGATCACATCTTATAAGGAGAAGACATGATACAGGAAATAACCTGTCATGGAGCAAATATACCCCAAGGATATGAAAAACGGTACTGGTAGGCTTTCCGTGTTTTTTAATATTGTGGCTTTCAAGTCATTCTTGATTTTGTAAACTGTATGTCTTATGACTTTCCTCTCCTCCAAAAAATGTAACATAAGTTCTCCAAATTTACTGCCATAATCAGAGTTTACTTTGGCAAAGTAAATCATTGGCAGCAAATAAGAATTGTGCTTCAGGAAAGTATAGAAATCCGTTCAAGTAATCTATCATATTTTGTGTGAGCTTTTCTCCCCCATCACAAGATTTTTGGCCTTGAAACAGTAACCTCATAAGAGCAGATGAACTGTTATGTCATCACACACTAAAAGAGACAGACCAAAATATGTCTAATTTTGTAAGGAATTTTCAAATTAATTTCCTTTTTCGATGGTACTGGATTTTGCAATGTGGGTTTACTGGTAAACGTTTGGCACTGATGCCCAAGAGTGATCCAATACAAATTTAGGAGCAGCTTGACAAGAAAAATTATCCACTCACCCTTTTTTAAGCCAACTTTTTTTTCCTAAGAAAAAGCACATATTTTAATCTGTTTGTGTATGAAACAGAATTATAGGTAGGGGATTGGGAATGAAGGAGCTGGAAGTGAAGTGAAGTTGTGGAAATATTTAAAGACAGTGGGTAATCCAACACAGAACTGAATTTGGAATGGAAATTCGCTCTTACATTTTAATATACATGTGTCTGATGTTCTTGTGATTCCCAGCTCCATAAGAGAACTACAAACCCACATTTCCAGGGCAACCCAGCCTTGAGCAGCTGGGGTCATGGCCATCCTGCACCCATTTCCTGCGTACTCAGCCTCTCGCCCTGACGTCCCATGTCAGAGCGGTCAGCACATCTCTTGGAGTGCGGCAGGGCCTCTCCCTGCTGGACGCCAGCCCAGGCTTCCCCTGTCAGGGCGGATGAAGAGTCAGAGGTGCCTGGGCTCCGGCTGGTCCGCAGACCGGCCAAGTCCATGCCAAAGGTCCCACTTGGTTCTGTGTGCTACTGAAAATGAGTGTGAAGGCAGAGTCTCCCCCGTGCATAGCTTTTCAATATTTCTAAAGCTGCTTGGAACTGCCTTGCAAGTAGAACTCAGGCTGGCAGAAGCAGTATCTGTGAGGCCTGTCAGTTGCGCCTCCATGTCTGGATGTTTTTTTGTAAATGGTCCCAGTCTAACGTCACCCGGAAGGTAAAGGGAGTGTCAAGACGAATGATACAATTCAGATGAATGGCTGATCGGTGAGGGCTGGCTGGGGCATGGGAGAGCTCAGCGTTGGAAAGAGACAAATTCCCTCTTCATCAAAGTGCGGATGGAGTGTGATTATAACCACATTTCTCCAGTGATTCTTTTAGAATTTAATAAAGTTATTTCAAAATTTATTTAGAAGGATATGTTTTCAAATAATAGAAAAAAAAAACTGAGGAAGAAATAGAATAGCAAGCTTTGAAACCATAATGTTAGGTGAAGTAACTCAGACTAACATGCCCAAATAGCATACGGTTTCTCTTATATGAGAAACTCAAAAAATATATAAATTGAAAAACAAAAGACAATAATAGGAAAAAGGAGAAAGAAAAAAGAGATATTGTAATCCAGTGGAGACAATATATCTAAAAGTGCATTTTGATTTAGTACAATTGTCTTACTAGTTTTATATGTTCTTCAGCCTATTGGTCTGTATGTATGATAACTAACTTTGTAGGTTCTTAAAAGACAAATGAATCTGATGCTGGAAAAATAAAAGTGGGTGCAGGAGCGGGGAGAAGAGAATTGAAATGTGTTGTGTAAATGTCTAATCCCCTATGGTGAACATAGTCATTATGTACTGCAAACGTAATAATAAAAGTTGAGAGCAAGAGAGAGAGGAATGTAAATTTTGAAATAATAATTAAAATGGATGATAATGTTTATGGCTGTGTCCAGATGTCCCCGTAGACCTCATTCATGCAGCCATATGTGGGGCTTTTTCAGAGGTGGCTGGATCTCGAGTGTGATTGATTCACGGTGCAGTCCTAGGACTAAAGGTGCCAGGATTAAGGCTGTGAGTGCTACCCCAACTTAGGGGCACCCTGGAAATAATACCAGGGACAGAAGCAAGCTTGCTGCGAGGTACTTGGTAGTTGGTCCCTTGCTTTTGCTATCTTCTGCCTGCCATGGACTGTTTCTCCTCTACGATACCCTCAGCCATGCCACCCTGCCTTGAAGCGAGCCAACTATGAACTAAAACCTCTACAGACTAAAAGCCAAATAAACCTTTCCTCCTTTGTCTTTGAGCATCAGGTATTTTCTCTCAGCAATGAAAAAAGTGACTAAGACAGTGATGAGGCAGATAGGTAATGATGGGAGAAAGCAGAGCTAGGACTCAAAGCAACTGCGTGTGTGGACACAGATACAGCACATGAGAAGAAGGAGCTGACAGAGCCTTGGAGGAGGATGTGTACTATTTATCACATGGCAGGACACACACGGGCCACTTGGAAACTGATGAGTACATAAATCAACATTTTTACCTCATTCTTGACACGAAAGTGAAATCGAGATGGAGCAAATATTTAAAGGTAAAATATTAAGATAATGGAAATGACTGTGAATATGTATATGATTTTAGTCCAGTGAAAGTTTTCTAGGCCCAAAACTGAGTAGGTAGATAGTCAAAGATGATAGATAGACAGATAGATGATAGATAAATAAGAGAAGAAGAGGGCCAGGGATTTAGCTCAGCGGTTCGGTGGCCCGCCTTGCAAGCGCAAAGACCCGAGTTCAATCCCCAGTACCAAAAAAAAAAAAAAAAAAAAAAAAAAAAACACACACACACACATTAAATAAGAGAAGAAGATAGATAGGTAGATAGATAGATAGATAATTTCTTAGATATAATATAGACAAGTTGATCTGGGCCCAGTGGAACACATCTGTATTCCAAGTTACTAAGGCAGGAGGACTGAGTTCTAGACCACCCTAGGAAACTTTGTGAGATCCTATCTGTGAGAAAGAGAGAAGGAAAAAGGGTAAGAGATGAAGACATAGCTCAGTGGTGCTTGTCTAATGTGCACCAGGCCTTGCATTTTGATCCCTTCCATCATAAAAATTTGGAAAAATGGAAAGCCAGCTCTCCCTGTCAAAAATCAGTAAACTTAAAAACTGAAGGAAAAAACATTTTAAATATTTACAGCACATGATGACAGGCAAAAACTTTTTTGATGTTATGAAACTGTCCTGTAAATCAACAGGGAAAAGTATCCAACGTTTGTAAGTGGGGGAGGTACACAGAGTCACTTGATACAAGACACGAGAGAAGTAGTGATTAATCATTGAAAAGGTGGCCAAACTCACAAATAATTAAATTCAAATAATAATAAGACATCATTTTTCAACTATCAAATTGGCAACGGTTAAAAGATTAATAACACCCGGTGTTGGCACGAATACGAGAAAACAAGTTGTCACATGCTGCTAGTGGGAGTGCTGAAATGGGCTAGTTTTTTAGAAGGAAAAAACTTCTCATATCTAATAAGAGGTTTAATGTCTGCATTCTTTCGCTAACATTTTCACATCTAAGATTGTGCCTGTAAGAAGCTCAGCTGAACACTGGCTCCTGACAGTCATGGGTCAAAGTTCAGGACCTAAGAGGAGAGAGAGGAAATTTAGCTAAAGTTCAGCTAATAAGTGTTTGGTTCCCACTGATCCGGGGACATGAACAGCTCAGCCAGTGATTTATGAGGCCAGTAAGGGTAAGTTGGAGGGTCCATGTCACTGGGAAACAGAGTAAGAGTGGGGTGGGAGGCCTCTTTGCATCATATCTTGGTTCTTTTGGGAAAGTGGTTCCTAATAGCAAGCAGATTCCCAGAACTCAAGAGTGTGGGTTTCTTAGTTTTCTCTTTTCCAGAGCCCCAGAGCTTGGGGAAAATTCAAGATGGCGGTCCCCAGCGTGGCAGCCTCTCCAGCAGTGATGGCTGTCCCAGGAGGGCTTCTCCAGGCTATGGTAGCACAGTTTGCCAACCTCGCCTTCCCAGCCCCAGGACTGGGGAGCTTCCCAGCAGGATGGTCTCTGGGTTCCTCAGGCCCCTCCAAGGGCCCCTGGTTGCACTTCCAGCACTTGTCTGGGCCTAAGGGACTCCAGCCTCATCTGTTCTGCATTTCATTCTGCTTCCTGCTGTGGCCCTGGCTCTTTATAAAGCCAGCTACAAAGTTGATGCTGTTCCCCTTTTCCAATATAGTGGCCCAACAGGGCAACAAGTCAGAGGCTAAAAGGTAGAAGTTGGGCCAATATAGAAAAGGATCTGAGGCTGGTGTATCCTTGTCTTATTTATTCTGGAAAACTCCTAAAATGTATATCTTGGTTATTCTACTGTGAAATTGTTCTAATTCCTTTCTGCTTAACCTTGAGTTTATCATTTTCAGAGAG